TTTCTAGACTCTTTTCATGCTCTTTCCTGTCTAACACTTCTATATAGTTATTTTTAATTACTAGTAGCTTCTTGTTTCTATCTGTTAATTCTGTTTGTTGTGCTACTACTTGATACTTTCTTGTATTAGACATTTCTATTTGCTCTATGCTCTTGTTTGCTTTTATATTTGACATTACTATATCTTCTATTTGTCATCTTTTCTTGAATATTGCACTAGAATAATTTTCTTCATTTTTATTATTTTCTTCAATCCTCTTCAATTTGCTCTTTTTCTTATTTATTTCCTTTTTGTTTAAACTTAATATATAATCAATTGAGCCTAAATTTTGACTTGCTATCTTAATTTTACTGGCCCACTCCTCAATAGTTTTTTTTGATACTGTTTTAGCTTCTTCAGATATATATCTTAGGGCTTAGAGTATTTAACTGTATAGTAGAAAATCTTTAGTTGTAATTTTTTAAGGATTGCCAAGAGCTAAATTTTTTGCTATTATTTCTAAGTTACTTGGTTCTTTAGTCATAGATGTTTTCAGAATGCAATTTAGTTTACTGCAGTTTAAGTATCTATACAGTTTGTTACCCATTTCTTGCATTTGCTAGATTAGGCTTTGTTTGTTGATTATCTTCATTTAATTACTTTATTTGTTGAATCTATTTTTGTATTTTTGTTGTTTAACTATCTATTTTCTGATTTAGTTTTGTACATGACTTGATGTTTGTTGTTTTCTTTTGCTGATTGTTGTAAGTTTCTATATCTGGAACATGGCTGCTTATTTGTTTTTAATGTTTACTGTTTTGATTGATCACGTGTGTTTTACAATTTTTCTGGAATAGTGTAATTCCCTACTTTTGTCAGAAAAAAAATTTTTTTTCTGTAACTGACTTGAAGTTCTCCAAATAATTTAGTTTCAATAGAAGTAAATTTTGTATTAAAATAAAAAAAAAAATATACTAAATAAATAGAATCTATAGCCTTCTTGATATTTTAAGTAGAACAGGTCAAGTTGATTAGTCTAAACAGGTCAGAAATAGTAAATAAACAAAGATTGTTTACTTTTTACTAGGATTGCTAACTTTGTACTAGCAACCAGACTGATATTAGCTATTTGTGGCTTTTGGGTTTCTAGTAATATTAGGTCTAACAATATTAAATTCAATATTTTTAAAAAAAGCTATATTATTTATAGGAACTTGTAATATGTTTTAAATTTTTGTCAATTTTGTTTGTTTTAATGATCTACAAAAAAGAGTTGATGTGTGATAAAGAATAACTTTTTCTATAGTAAAGTTATATAACTAATTAATTATATAAATATGTAATCTAAAAATAATATATATAATATTATTATTAAAGAAAAAGATTTGTATAAGCAAATTAAAAATATGAATTAATTAATAAATTTTTAAGTTATAAGCCAAGTTTTATATATATATATCTTTTTATTATCCTTTTAGTATTAGTTAAAAATAGTAAAATAGATATTAACAACTCTTTCTAATGCTTATTTAAACCAAACTTTTCAAAAAACTGAACTACAAAAAATAATATAGTTAATATATTAAACTTTATAAAAACCTTTTTGAAGTACTGTATATGCATTGTTGGACATTAAAATAGATTAAAAAAGAGTTGCAACCTTGTAGTGATAGTTTAAAGAGCACTCTAGAACTATAGAAGAAGTAATTAGTGAAAGTTAGGGTTTCTCATTAAGTAAACAACAAAGTTGGATATATTAGTTCTATACAACTGTAAAATCTACAAGAAATACTCACAAGAGTTAAGAACTTCCAAAAGCTAAAAGTTGGTTCATCTAGCACTCTTACTTTTTCTTCAAAGAAAATTTTGTAAAAGTGAATGATTTAGTTTACTTTCTTCTAAAAATCAACATGTAAAATTACTAAAACAGTTAGCAGTATTTACTTCCTAAATAAAATTGTTTATAATATAGATTAGAAATAATACAGCAATATAAACATGACTATACATATGCCTCAAGCTATTGAAAACCTGTCAAATACTGCCTCTGAACTAATCAGTATCCTATACTGATCTTCTATAATAAAGTTGAAGTTTTTTCTCTTTTTTGGTTTTTTGTTTAAATAATCTAAGTAAATAGAAAGATAGTAGAGTAATTTTTATTTAGTATAGTTTATAATTTTTATAAGCCCAACATAGGCTTATAATTGTAATTGTCTGATATCTGTGAATTACAAGTTTCATGCCTAACACAGGCTTAAAATCATAACTGTTTGATTTTGTGAATTGCAAGTTTCATATTTTTCTTTTTTCTTGTTTTCTTTTTTTCCTCTTTTATTTCTTGTTTTGTATTTTTTATCATTTACCCTTATACTTTTGTTTTTTTTTATATATAAAATCTTTTTTTTGTTTTTTTGCTTTCTTACAAGAAGATGTTATCAGATTGGTGATATTCTATTGTAGGGTGGCAGTCAGATAAGCAGTTTACTTCTGTTTGAGGTAGTGCAACAGGTTGCACATAAGTATCAATAAGGTGGCCAGATGATGCTAGACTTAAGTATTAGAAAAATTTTCTGTAACCAGTATAGTATCAAGAATTCTAATAAAGTACTAGCATGACTGCTTAAGTTAAAAAAAAAATAAAATAAAATTAAGATATATAAGAGTTGATACAAACAATAAAATTTAAACTTCTTATTAAGTAAAATAGTTTAATAACAATATTATTTAAAATATTAAAAACTTTAAATACAAGTATTGATCTAGTATTATAATATGCAAAATATGCAACAAGATAATATAACTATTATTAAAATTAATTATAAAAGTTTAGCAATCTGTATTAGATTAATATAGTCTAAATTAATTAGCTAAATATATATTAGAGTTGATTTTTATTTATTAAAATTAAATAAAACTAGCAAATTACTACTAAATTTAAAAAATAAATAAAATAAAATATTTAAATAATTTATTGTTAATAATATATAAATTTTATTTATATTTAAAGACTATACTTTATAGTAATTATTTTATTAATATATAGAATATATGCTATAGAAAAAAAAATCAACAAAAAAAAAGATCTTTAAAAAACCTATTTTTTATATTATAAATTTTATAATAAGCTATAAAAAATTATAAATTTTGAAAAGCTATATTGCAAAATTTTATTAATAAAACTACTTTTATGTTTTAAGTAAAAAATAATCTTGATTGTATTTTAAATTAATTTATATAAAAAAATTAATTTTAAAAAATTTGGTGTTTTCTTCTTTTTTATAACACTTAGTTTATATGTTGGAATTAGTATTATAATTTTTTTTAATAAAATAAGAGTACAGCTAACTATATATGCAACTTTTAATTGTTTATTTAGATAATTTGTTTTAGAGTTCTATACTAAATACTATATATATAATCTATTAGAAGATTATTTATTTAAACCTTCTAATTATCTATTTTGTTAATTATTTAACTATTATAAATTTTTTATATATACTTTATTAGCATATTATTTGAGTAGTATAATATTTTTTCTTTTTACATTAGTATTTAAATTATTACATATTTTAGAATATGATATCTGTTAGTAAGGCTTAGAAAACTTTTTTTGTTAATTATATACTTACTTTATAAACTATTAACAAAAGCTTGTTTTTGTAAAATTTACTTGTATTCTAATACTTACTTCATAGCATATCTATAATACTTTAGTATATTACTATTTTATTTTTAGATTTTTAATTTGAATAACTTAGAAGAACTATGGTTTGTTTCTAATATATTAAATTTGACCTAATATCTTTTTCTTTAATTTGAACCTAACAATTTGGTTAGTAGTACTTCTTATTTAAAGGTTTTTGTCTGTCTAATTTCTTTATATTGATATCTATTTTTAGATTCAGTCTTTATAGTAATAGTGTCAAAATTTTATATTATTTTTTTACTTAGATTTTTTTCAAATAGGTTTTAAGTTTTTTTTAGTTTTACAGATTTATATAGTTACAGAAACATATTTTGAATTTGTATTATCCAGTACCAGTTTGCATTCTTTCATATAATCAAGATATAAATAATTACTATATTAAATTATATTTAAACTAATAATTAAACAAACTTTTATTAAACAAATTATATACTAATTTAATAATATTAATAATAATTAATTTTAATAATAATAAAACTACTAAATATATATATTTTGTATATACAATATATTAAATAATTTAAACAAAAATTATATATTTTTTAATATTTTTATTTATTTACAATGATTATATAAAACAAATCTATATAAACATTTTTTATACATTATTAATTAATAAATATATACCAACTATATAATTATATAATATAAAATTTTGTATAATAAATTATAGCAACTAAACTTTTAAATAAAAATACAAAACCAACAAGTTTTAAATATTATTATAAAATTGGTTAAGTTTAAAACATAGTCATTGTTTATTTTTTATTTTTTTTTGCTTTTTTTTGTTTTTGTTTTTTTTTTTGTTTTTTAAAGTTTGATTTGCGAAAGGAAAGAAAGATTATTTGATGAAATGAATCAAATATTTAAGGCCATCAAAGTTCAAAATCTTTTACCCCCCTCTCACTACGTATATATTTTAAGCCAACCTATCTTCAAATAGATATTTTCTTGTTAATGAATATAGGCTGATAAAATAATAAATCATTGTAAAATACAAATTTTTTTTTGTTGGTTGGCTTTTATATACAATTTCATCACCTAAAATAAGTAAAACCTGATACATACATCCAATGCTATACATAATAAAATTTCCGATAAAAAAAAAAAAAAAAAGTCCAAATAAGAAAAAAAATAAATAAAGTCCATTAGGTTTTTTTTTTTTTTTTTTTTTTTGAGGTTCTAATGTCCATTATGACTTTTACATCATATTACGGGTTATATGAGATTTGACCTTAAAATGGCTATGATTTAAATAGTCAAAAAACAACACACCATCAAACTAACCAACATCTGCATCATGCGGCCGTTACTAATAATGTTGCCACTGATTAAATCGAAAAAAGTTTGAGCCCTTAATATTCCAGTCATTTATCGTTAAAGGTGGAGGAGATTTGGTTATTGAGAAATTCTTTTTCTTATGAAACTTATCGATTTCAAGATTTTCTGTTAAAACACTAATAGGTGGCAATCTAGTGACTGTTGATTGTTCCTGCGTTGACGGTAAAAATTGAGAAGTGTTTGACAATGTAGGCATTGAAGCAGACCGTATTGCAGGTCGAACACTAACAGCAGGGTTGTATGTCGAATTCGGTAACTGACTATGAGCAGCACGCGGACTTGAAGTGAAATGTGGAGTAAATTGCGGCACTGTAATGTTACTATTATTATTATCACTACTGTTATTACTAAAATTGTCTTTATAACTATCAAAAGATGTTCTAGGATATTGCGTTAATTGTGCATCGATTGATGTTCGTGGTGTTGGTAATTGGTGATGTTGTTGCGAGCTGATATATGACGGAGGTAATGTGCGGGATCTTTGTGGTATTTTTGGAAGGGGAGATTGAGAATTGGAATGATAAGATGGATGAACTGGAGATAGTTGAGAAGATATTGGTGTATTCGTGTGACAATTTGAAACAGTACATTGTGATGAATAATCAAATGTAGCATTCGTACAAGTCGATTGATCATGTGTATGTGAGAAAGAGTCAGAGTGTTCCATCAATGGTGGCAACGTTGACCTATAATCATAAGACATTTTTTCTGAAATTGACAACTTTCGGCGTTTCGGATAGTCATTAGTATCTTGAGAAATACCAAGGGAATTTAAACGAGCAGTAATAGGATCATCCTGAAAAGATTCGCTCTTAAATTCATAATGACCGCATGAAATACAATTGCACCTATATTCTCGTTGTAAAGGTTGAACATGATGGGTATCAGGTTCATGATGATGGTTGTTGTTCGGTAGAGGATAAGAAGAATAATCAACATTTCTATCAGTCATTGGAGAAGGTTGTAAATAATATGAAGTATCAGAATGTTGCATATCCAACGGAGACGTCGCAGAAGGTAAATTTATGCTTCTCTTTTTTGAAATCTCGAACGCGTCTGAACCATCACCGATACCATTATCGTCATCACCTTCTGCGTTGTCCGAATGTCTATTATGTTGCGGTTGTTTCCTAACGTTAATAATGAATAAGTAAGAGATAAAAAAAAAAAAAAAAAAAAATCCAAATTTGACTAATGACCACGGTAAGAATTAAAATACATTTGAATTCGGTGTTCTTTACGTATTCTTATTCTAACGCCTTGATCAGAAAAAGATCTTGATAAAAATGTTGATTCAGACATTCCAGGGAATGTCTTTGGTGAATACACATCAAATATATCAGACAAGATCGATTGTATGTGAACGACCTCGTTACTATTTAATGTAGACCATTAAGATATATATATATATATATTTCGATATAAAAAAATTCATATAAAATGAACATGAAAAAATTCAACATACTTTATTATTTCGAATAGACTAAATCGTAAGCGATAACGACCCTCAACTCGTACGGATATGTCACCAAATACAAAAAAGCCGCCATCTGAAGTTTACAAATTGGAATGAAAAGTTAGTTAATATAGTGTTATTAGTCAAGGAATAAACAAATGATCAAGGTCAATAGATATACCGGAATTATCAATGTCTTTGAGTTTGTGAAGAGAAGAAACTATAGTACCAGCAAGACATTTTGACGAAATTGCGAAATGCTCACTATTATTAGAAGGATGAACAAGATTCGCACACATAAAATAATATGGACTCTGAAGGTAATTCCTTTAAAAAAAGGAAAAAAAAAAGTAAATAAATGAAAAATGAATACAAACTTACGAATAATGAAAAGATGACGAATAGATTAATAGTTTATTTAAAACATACTGTGCCTCATCACCGCAACTATCCACTTTAAACTGAATAATTGGAGGGGGATCAACGGGTCTTCGATCTGAATTAATAAATTAATTACGATACATTCGTTTCAAGGAATGATTGAACAATGAAACACAGTGGGATTTATTACCTCGTTCTTTCAGACTACATAATCGAGCCTGTTTTGGTTGTTGCCGTATAATGAGACGATATTGTGTGCTAATTAGATAAGGGATAAAGAAGACGCGTTTTACAGCATATAACAATTAATGGTTATAATATATTTTTCAAATGAAATAGAATCGCGAAGAATAGATAAACGTAAATACCTATCAAACGGTCTATGTTCATTTGAGGTACTTACAAAATTGTACGTGTTTAATACGTTTGTATTCCTTGACATTGTTAGATCCGTAAGACAACAGTAATTACAAAGTGTATGGTGATATTCGGAGAAAAGTTCCGGAATTCACAAGTTTAAACGTTAAATATAGTTTATAGTTAAATTACTAATACTAGTATTCAAAACTAGTATTACTAGGAAATTTTATTTTTAGTTTCGTAACGGTTAGACAATCAGTAAAGGAAACAAAAGCGGAAATTGTGAATAACGAATGTTATGAGGTCGTAAATAACAGTTGTATAAGTGAGAGTGGATGCTATAAAAATGTTTATAGACTTTTAAAATACACGAATAACCAAACAAAAAGACTTCAAAAAAAAAAAAAAAAGACAAAAAAAAAAAATTGAATTAAAAAAAATAGAATAATAATCAAAAAAAAGCACGTCACAAGAAAAAAAAAATCGTGTTCATGTCATATGTAGTATCCACGAGAAATATAATCCAGTAACCAAAATAATTATTATAATAATTATAACCAATGTATTGTAAAAGTTTGAAAAATTAAAAGAGGGATTATCTTTTGACGGGTTTTTCCTGTAACGGCTTTTCCTTAGATTCTTTATTATCGTTTCTTTTTTTCTTTTTTTTCTTTTTTTTTTTTTTTACGAAGAAAAGAATTGAAATAACTTTTAAAGCGGGAAAATTGATTTTAAATTTGATTAGATCAGAGGGTACACAAAACAATATCCGAAATCCGAATACCGAAAATATGCCACCGAGATGAATTCCAGGTACAACTTCAGGTACTATGCCCAAAAAGGCATTTAGCCACAACAAAGTCAATGAAGGCGGAGAACAAACCATGCACGCCGGATTAAAATTTTTTTTAAATTTTGATTTTTCGCGCTCTATGTAAATATACCTTCCCGGTTGATGTTTATTATACAACATACTATATAAATATTATATATAAATATTATATATTATGTATTAAACTTCATACACATATAATATTACGTAATTAAACCCGCAGTGGCGCCTAAATTAACATTATGGTTCAATAACCTTTATCTACATTTAAGTGTATTTGTAGAAATTGGCAACTGATAAAAACGATTAACAAATAATATTCTCGATATGGTATAAATTCAAATATTTGCCTAAAAATTTGTCATTGGAACCAAAGTTAAGAATTATTATTATGAAGCTCTTAAAACACATTACCTGGTAACCTTTAAATAGCAGGTTCAGTAATATGTACGCTCTATCTTTTCTATTTTAGCCTTATGCATCGTTGATGCAATGCATACTAAGGTTTATTCATATTTTTTTTTTTTTAATCAAAATATGAAAGCAATTATCTATCTATGTCTTTGAACTATATACGCGAGGGTTGTTTGTTATTAAGGGAACATAATGCAAACCTAATTTAGGAGTTCTAGTGAAGGTGCAATTTCTTTAATATTACCCGCTCTTGCTTCAAATGCAAAAAAAAAAACCTTACATTAATACTCAAACACAATTGAATTATAATATATGTATAATTATATGTATCACATGATTTATTTCGTCATCTTACATGAATTCATACATGCAAGTGCCCCTGTGCAAACACTATAATTATCGTCATTATGTTTAGTGTAATTCCATATAATTATTTGTGAAACAAAAGACGCGTAAAATGTCAATGTTTATTACCGTTATAATTCTTATTTTGGACCCCTGAGCATTTTACGTTAATGATCGGCATATTACTTGTGGCACAGCAGGCGCGAAAGGTAGATTGGAATGGAGACCGTCAAAAACCATAGTTTTTAAATTGATTACTAATCGATTTGTAAATTAAAAATCACGCGACACTTACAAAATCCAACAAGACTTTAGAGAATAGTAAGTAGATTAAATCAAATATGTGATCAATGTCAATCTATAATAGTAGTGCACTATGCATTATCATATGAACACTTAATAATTAAATATCGATTATACTAAGTAATTAGTCTTAATTAAATAATAAAGGTGAGCATGGCTCGACGAGTTGCGAATACAATCTTCGAGGTTGCGGAAATGCAGACAGTAAACCAACGGTAAATAAGTGCTACCAAGGAAAAACCTCGTCTTTGACTGTGTTAGTCATTCTGATCGGTAATTAATTAATTAATTACATGAACGGATATCTAAATGAATTCGGTAAGATGAAAATTTGAAGATTAAATCAAACGGTTCAAATAAGAACGAGTCGGAATTTTACGGGATTCGAGTCATTGGTTATTTGTTAACTTATTGTAATTATATAATAAGAGAAAACGAAATTATGTACATATATATATATAAATATAATTACCAACCTATTTTTAATTAATAGATTAATAATAATTATAATAATAATAATAATAACTTTTTTATGCGATGCCGGAAATCGATACATTATATAAAAGTATTTTAAACTGACAGGTAATTTTGTGAAAGTTTTTATCCAATTAAACCCATCGAAATAACATGCATAAATTTCCGGTATGTATCATATTAATTAATAATTATTCAGTTTGAAAAAAGAAAATAATGACATGTCGGTATGCATTAAATGATTTTTAGTAACACAAATGAAGTAAGAAGTATTTGCTTTTCGGTGTTGGCACATTGGAGCATTTACATAAAGCACGAAACAATGGTGCATTTTTCTTAACACATAAATTTAAAACAAACCCCTCAAATAAATTATACATACGTATGTGTTATATTAAAAAGCTAAATAAAATATATTTATGGTGAATCCGTATGGTTAATATTAAAAAAAAATTTCTTAATGAAACATGGTACGTACAATGGATTGAAGTGGTGAACTTACAATATGTCAATCCAAACCATATATTATAATCATATATTATACGTGCATGCGTACTTATGCGGTGTTATCACGAGACAACTTTTGGCATAAATATGAACTTTTTTGAAATGTTAATTATAGGTGTTTGGGGACATGTCAAAAAAACTTTGGATCAACATTGTACATACATATGTACGTACTTGGTTCGCCTATTTAGATGAGATCAGATTGGTGGTGACACGTAGCAGTATGCTAGTTTACCTATGCAATCTTTAATCTTTCGGTAAATAAACAAAAAATAAACAAAGATAAAACACTATGGCAACATCATCATTATTATATAGAAGACCAATTCTTACTATTATAATATCGAGTATAGACACTAGTTGGTAACAGTCTGATACAAAAATGGCAGGTATTGTCAGATATTGTCAGGTATTCTTTAGCCTGGCAATTTTTTCTCATATGCCTTAAATAACACATGGCAACTTCGTGCCTATACCCGGGGTTGGTAATGGTCTATGTTCATTAAGGAAAATTCGTACTATACTGATCCTGTATTATATATTAGGTTTAGGATTAGGAATTATAACAGATTAATATCGGCAATGGTTATGGTGTTCAAAATAGGTACTGCACACCCCCATACCATACAACTCCGGTTACTCATACCATACGTACTGATATTCTGTAATCCCTTTGTAAATGGACTTATATAGATCAATAGATTATAATTTAATTGGTTCATTGATCTGTTGATCCATTAGTCATATATCAATATGCTAACCCGGTTTTACCTTACGTATACTTATAATATGTAGTGTTTTGCATTTTTGTGCTATGGGCAATAGGCGCGTCTCAAGGCTCCAGTACCTGGCGTAATGCCAACGTACCGATATAGGCTTTGAGGATATCTACAAATGTTTCGTTTCTGACATTTGTATCCATAAAAGTGCCTCTTCAAAAGTGCTGTGACAAACTTGTGGCAGCCGGCCAAAAATATTTCCAGTTTAGTTGTACTATGAAGCAGGCCTAATTTTCTTTTTTGGATTCAAAAATTATAATTTGCAATTTAAGACTGAGCTTTCGTGCCTGTGCACATGCCGTATCCAAAATTTTGTACTTGCATTTTTTGTTAGGCATGGGCATGTGTCGAGATTGCAGGTCTCCCTACATGCCATTGTTGTTGATAGGTCGATTCTCCAGTTCTGGTCGTAGTCACACAACAAAATACCAGTAAGCATTTTTCGATTTGTCTCTAAGTGATATTAATAATTCTATATTAATAATTCTATATTACAAAGTTATTCCAATGTTAGGTGGTTACAAGCCTAGATGAACGTTACTTAGGTTTATCATTTAAGATCGATAAATGTTTTTCAATAGAGTTTCACTCACCTTTCTTACTAAATAAATTGATCTTCAAAATTTAATAGCCGATGCGAATAATTTTATCCTTTCAGAAAACCAGCATATCAACCTGGTAATATATTAACCATATAGTTATAATATGACACTTAACTTCTCTTGCCTAATTTGCTCTATGTTATTTCACCAACAATCACTTTACTGCAAAATCGTCTAGCCGACATCACATAACTAAAGATGTACCTCGCAAAAGATAATGACATCATTATCGCGTAAATTACATTAGATGAGTTCATTTCTTGCGCGAAGTAAATTTTTCATTAAGAAAATCCTAGCTGTCCGTGATTTAAAAAGATTAGAGTTACCACCAAATTCATAATCTGCTAATTCAACTTTGGTCTTGGATGAGGTCACCTTGCACTTCGCGCGAAGTCACATGATTCATTGAATATACGCCTCGGCAAGATACATCTCTGTGAAAATTACAAATAACATGCAGATATATCAATATGCTAAAATTAATCATATGTTCGATATAAGGTGAGTCAATAGAAACAAGCAAATTTTATTTCAAACTTTAAATAAAATAATTTACCAAAAATTAAAAAGGTTTCAAAAAACCAATTTTTTTAGAAAAGAATTTAAAACTTAAAAAGTTTTTTTTATTTAAAAAAGTTTTTTTTTAAAAAGTTGTTTTTTTTTAGATAGATTCTATAAAAAATTTTTATAAAAGCTTTTATTAAATTATTTTTATTTAAAGTTTGAAAAGAACTTAATACAAAAATTTTACTTGATTTCTATTGACTCACCTCGAAATATATGAAATATAAACTCGGTTTCAAACTCTATTTTCCATTATCAACTT